TGTAATTGCATTTCAGTTTTCTACAATGTACAGGGCTGTCACATAGGCCAAAGTCAGTGAAAGGTGCAGCCCCTGGAGAATCTGATGACGCGGAGGGGGGCGGGCGCCTGGCGTCTTTCTCCCATTGCAGAGGCTCTCACAAGTTTTCCTGAGGAGGAGGTCCCAGGTGGGGGACGCAGAGTGGGCAGGGGAATAGGCCAAGGAGCAGGGGCCGAGGGCTCATCGCAGACACAGGCCTCTCCCTCTGTGCAGCTTGGCCTGGCCCTTCCCAACCTCCATGGACTTCAGGGCTTTTGTGGGGAGAGAAGGCGAGCTCCTGGTGGCTGTAGCATCCACAGAGTTTGCTCTGGCTCCTCTCCTTTCTATTTAATTATTACTAATTTAAGTCAAGATGTGACATAATGTTGAGTGAGGTGCTCAGTGCTCAGCATGTTTTAGTAATGACCTTGGCCTGTGTGCCTGGCATTCACACAGCGTTCCCCTGGGATTTCTGGGGCCTGAAGCTGGGGGTTGGGAGTGACATCTTCTTTCATTACTCTTAACTCCTGTATTCTCATATTTTTTTAAAAAACCTTTTTTCTCTTGCCCATACTGACCCCCCCATTCCCCAACCCCAGCTCACATTTTCTACCCTCTTCTTTGTGCCAAGAACGTGCGCCCTGCAGAGGTCAGGCTGCTGATTTTGGAAAACATCCTTCTGAATCCAGCGTACGACGTCTACCTGATGGTGGGGACCACCATTTGCTACAAGGTGCAGAAGATCAGGCAAGGGAAGATCACAGGTGACTCAGTGGCTCCATAATCATGGCAGATGCTTCCCCCTGCCCCTTTTTTATTGTGGTAAAATACACATAACATTTACCATCTTTACCATTTTTAAGTATATAATTCAGTCGCATTAAGTACATGCAGCCATGGTGGTGCAGCCATCACCAACATCCATCTCCAGAATTTTTCGTCTTCCCAACCTGAAACAGTCCCCGTTCGACACTAACTCCTAATTTCCCCTTCCCCAGCCCTTGGCACCCACCATTCCACTGTCTGTGAATCTGACTCCTCTAGATACCTCACGTAAGTGGAATCATGTGGTATTTGTCCTTTGCGTCTGGCTTCTTTCACTTGGCACAGGGTTTCCAAGGTTTATCCACGTTGTAGCAGGTATCAGAATATCCCTCGGCATTAAGGCTGAATCACATTCCGCTGTATGGATAGACCACGTTTGGTTTGCCCATGCATCTATCAGCGGACACTTGGGTGGCTTCCACCTTTTTGCTGTTGTGAGTAATGCTGCCGGGAACTCAGGTGTGCAGATATCTGAGTCCCTGCTTCCAATTATTTTGGGTATAACAGTTCTTCAGTGTTAGGAAGTCAAGAGCTGTGGGCTTCGCGTTGGACTGGGTTTTTCCCCTGGTCTGAGCATACTTGGGTGATCC